TTGTCATATCTTGATTGATTTCTGATTAGGAATGAAAGGATAGTTGGTCTGTGTTCCAAGTTACACTTTTGAAATTTTATTTGAATGGATGGATATATTCCAGTCTGGTCCAGTTTGACAGTTGGACAATCACAACTAGAGCTATGAGTGTGGAGATTGCAAAGGAGTGGGCAGATTCTAACTAGTTCACCTGGTTACCTGAGCTGCAGGGTTTCCTTGGTCCTGTTGTTCCTGTACCAGGGAGACATGGAGTACTCTGTTTTTGTATTGTTTTTCTTTCTTTTTTTTTTTTAATAGGCTTCTCCTAGGACATAGGGTGGGCAGAGCTTACTGGTCTCCTTGTTTATGCCTTACTTTTCTGTTGAGGTGATAGAAAAACTGACCAAAGCAATTCATAGAAGTAAGAGTTTATTTGAGCTTGTGGTTGCAGTGGAATTACGGTCCTTCATGGTAGGAAGGCATGGTGGCTGGTGGTGGCTCGATAAGGAGCAGCAGAAGCTAAGCTCTCACATCATCATGCAGGCACAGGAAGCAAGAGAGCGACTGGAGATCTGGCAAAGCTTAAGAACTCTCTAAGCCCAGTGACATGCTTCCTTCAGGATAGCCACACCTTCTAAAACCTCCCAAAACAGCGCCATCATCTTGTGACAAAATGTCCAAATACCTGGAGCATGTGGGGGACATTTTCCTTCAAACCATCACATACCTCCTGAGCACAGGGTTTCTTTTTAAAGTTTCTGAATGCATTTATTTATTTTTCCTCTTTTCGGTCTCCCTAAAACCCATTCTGTATTATCTCCTTGCTTTGTGTTTACCATTTGTCCTTTCTATTCAGTTTTCTCTTTCTTCAGGTTTTTTTCCATTGCTGCTCTGACACCGATAATTAACCATCCTCCACTTATTTTCCTTCCATTCATAATTCTTCAGTATCATAGTATACCCTGTCATATCCTAATTCTTTATTCTTCCAAATTATTAGGGTTGAAGCATTGTTTTAACTTACTGGTGCTAGATTTCCAAGGAGGGATGACTCATCATTTATGCCTCCTTGTGTGTTTTTACATGTTTCTTTACATTAGATCTGCAGATCTTGTGGTGCCCTTACCACAGGAGTTGAAGGTTCATTTATGGACTTCATACTTGGCTCACTGGGGAGGAATTTCAGCACAACTCTACTACAATAGAATCTCACTTGAACAATGGAAAAATGTTAAGTGGAAGAATGTAGAAAGGTTTAAAAAAATCTCACCCAGTTTAACACCAGATAAAGAAGTCCCATCACAGAAAGACAAAAAACTGAGAAAAATCAAGGAAACACAACTCCTATAATATCATTAGATTCCAACGAGTTAGAACTTGATGAAATCTCAGACAAATTTAAAAACCATGATTATGGACACACTCAAAAGAGTCAAAGAGGACATGTATAAACTGAACGCACTCAAAGAAATAACAAACACATGCGTCAAAGAAGAAAGTCCATAAGGATCTGAGAGGGAAATACAATAAAATTTTACTTCATAAAACCTAAATTGAAGAATTGTAAATGAAGAGCACAGCCATTCCAGTGCAGATCAATATGATGGCTCATCCATTTGGTGAATCAAATGGAAGCTGGAATATGAGGACTTGAAGAGAGAGCAGGCAAATGAGAACCACCCGAAAATAATTCACATACATGTCTAAGAAAGTATGAAGTGACCTTGGGAGAGACATGATGTACCATTAAGGAGGAACTTAGAATTCCAGGCAACAATATAAAAGAACTTTCCCATCCATCATAGGAAAGTTAAAGCACTAAGTACACACAGAACCTAGAAGGAATATTGAAATTTACAAAACAGAAGCAATCAGTCATGCACGAGGAAAACTTTTGAAGATAACAGTAGATTTAGCCAGCAAAGAAACTCTCAAAGTAAGTAGTATATGGAGCTATGTATTCTCAGTTCTGAATAAAAATAAGTGCCAAACCACATCACAATATCTAGCAAAGCCATCTTCATAATGGAAGTAAAAAGAAAGTCACTCAAAAATAATTAGACACTAACTGAATACACAGCAGCACCGCAGAAGGTAGTTGAAGGAATCCTAGTTGTAGAAGAGAAAGTCAAACACATCAGGTAACAGAAAGGAATAAAGTAAGCTAGAATACGTAACCAAGTGAGAACAAGTAATCAAATGAGGGTTGGGAAATTACCACACACAGGAAAACAATAACCCAATGAGAATAAGTTCCAAATGGTATCTGTTTCTATGTTCATCCCCGGACATCTGGAAACTTGCTTGGAATTGCAGAAAGTTGAGTTGATGCGACCCTAACAATGTCAAAAGACTCATAAAGAGAGTTCATAAAGAGATAAGTAGCTGATAGTGTTAATATGTATTTGACTGTGAAGATGAGAGAGATGCTGTGACAGGAAGTGGTTGAGACAAGAGATGAACTGAGATGGGCCCACCAGATTGGGAGCAGCTAACCATGAAGTAGGGCATGAGGCTCTGCAGTAGTGCTAAAACTCCTCCAGTCTAGTAGAGAAACATACGTACAGAAAAGCAGCTCACCTGGCTCCATCCAATCCAAGCACTTACAAGGATTATTGAGTTGAAATGTAAAAGATGGAAAGCTGTTCTGAAGACTGATTTTGGGGAGAACCTCTACTTTTAATGAATGTTCAGGAAAGGACTTAAATAGAGACCGATATCAACATACTCATCAATGAAGGAAATTAAAAACAGCAGAGAGCAGCAAAAGGACAATCAAAGAGATATTTTAGAGGAAAATTTGTTAATTAGCATCTTACACGTGATAAAGGAAATTAAAATAATAATATTATCAAAAAAGCCCATTTAACTCACCTTCAAGGTAGTAGTCATTTGAGAACTTTTGACAGCTGTATGGGAGGACTCATTGTGGAAGCGTGAGAAACATGGTTCAAATGGTGTCTGTGGTGGAGTGAAGAGTAAGTACAATGAAGGACTGCCCTGTTCAGGAGCAACGGTTTCCTTATTCTCTATAATGGATGAGATTTAAAATACATTTATAGTTAATATATAATTAGATGAATTTATATATAGTATAGTGAGTAAAATGAGAGAGAGAGAGAGAGAAAGAGAGAGAGAGATAAAAACACACAAACTGTGGCAAAGTAGTATGAGACAGAATAGGGATGAGCACAGTGTTAGACAGGAAGAGGGTGGAGAGAATTCCATGCCACTCCTGTCAAGGTAGAATACTGAGTAAGTTAACACTCAACTACCTACTTGCTCTTATTGAAATGACTGACAGAACCTCCTCCAGGAAGCCACA